CCTATGAACAAAAACTCGCGTATCGCGCACAGTGGCAGCATTCTATATGAAATCATGTTTTAATCATACTTACAATTAACTTATTTTATTGAAAACTTCTAAATATTTAAAACTTTTTACTTTAGACACATATCTGAAATTTTTTTTAGCTGGTGTTTGTTGTTGATTTTTAAATAATTATTTAACCCTACATTCATAAAAATGCTGCCACGATGCAGGTTAAGGGTTAAATATCAATAAATGATATTTTTAAAAATAATTCAAGATCATTCATGTATTGCTTATTTGAAATAACTGTTCAAATTATAACACAAATGTAATTACATCTACTCAACAATGTAAACAAATTTGTTAAAGTTTAGATCCTAAACAAGCATCATGAATATTTGTGTATTTAGTTCACGCAATTATAGCGAATATTAATGTAATAATTAATTGTAATCTAAAATTAATCGCAAAATTAAATAATAAGAAGAGAAATGTGTCTAACTTTACGAAACCGTGGGATTTGTTTTGGACAGAATATGGCAATAGAGGCCTCCCTTTCGCCCATTTCCTGACAGCACATACAGGAGCGCTCGACCTGCCAGAACTTGGACCCCGACACCTGGCAAATACATGGTTATCATTGTTGTTAAGTACATTATAATTGGTTAAATGAATTGAATTAATAAAATACAAGACCTGGACGTATGAAGAACATGTGCCATAGCAGGCAAACGATGGGATGGGTTTGGGAACACAACCGGCGTGTTTGAGGACATGGATGACAGGCCGAAGATGACACTCTTCTTTACTGCAGTGACAGACTTTGTATATAAATATAAATAAAATCACTGCTATTTTTAAGCTCATAATTGGTGTTAAGATCTGATTTAGGATGAGATGAAAAGTGAAATGAAGAGATGTCTGAGGACTTAGTTTTGTGGTCTAAAGCGGTCTAACAGTCGCTTCAATTGATCTTGAATTTGAGACTTGAAATCAAATGTTTTCGATACCATTAGTTAGTATTGTTTTCGCGATTTTGTTTAATTAGACTCTCATTAGAGTTAAGTGAATAATTCAGTCAATCGACGGGTGATTTATAGCCGCCAACTGTGAAGTCATATTAAATATGAGGGTTTCTCTCATTAAATTGCCTACAAAAAGGCTATTCCTTAATATTTGTTATTGTAATACATTAAACGATTATTATATTGAACATGATTTGTAACTATCGAATGACCTTTTGGTTAATTAAACTTTTTTTGAAAACTCAATTTATAAAAATAATCTAGACAAAAGAAATTATTTAAATGATTTTTATTTTCTCGAATTTATTTTCTCGAATCAATTGTTTATTTAAATAAATTCTGTTGTTTTACAATTTATAGGAATTTAATATAAAATAATTAAATAATTTTGACATCTAATTACTGAAAATATAAATATTTAAAAATATTGTAATAATATTCATTTTAAAAATGAAAAATCACGAAATTAAAATTTATATTATCTTCTTTATTTAAATTTATTAATAAAAATTTATAGACATCTCAAAATATTTAATGCTAATTAAGTTTACATCAAATTTTCAGCTGGACAATATTTTGCAGTGACTTGAATAGGTCTTATTGACCACATTTATGGCAACTGCAGTCCGTGGGCTCCATCATCGACACTGTCATAGTGTCGGACAGTTTCTTGCCGTCCAAATCAAAACAGTCGGTCAAATGGACTTCTTTTTGCTTCATATGACTCTCTCGACAACAAAGACATTCCTTCGGATAATTACACAAAACAATTGGTATAATAATTAAAGTGAAAGTCAAACGACTTTCATATTCATGTAAATTGTATCCAAAAATGAATACCTTTAATACCTTGAGGAAACCGGTAGCCGTTGTGATACTGGGTCTGAGTTGCGACAGACACGTGCCCTCGCACTTGTTCACCACAATATTACCTTCGCAGACCCGAATCACATTTCCCAATTGATCATGCTCCTCTTTGGTTACCTTTATTCTTGATGGTAATGTCTCACACGTGCCCTTTATATTTGGTCCGACCTCTTCCTCCACACTCTTTTCCATCAACTCTTGGTCGGGAACCGATTGGTCAGCCACTGAACTGCGGCATACATTGGACTTAAATAAATACAATACGATTACAACTAAAAGTAAATGTTTATACATTTTGATAAATAAATTTTGTTTAATAAAAATGATTTATATGTATATATTTTAGCCAAATTCAAAAAAGTAATGACAACTCTTTTGGCTAAACATTAAGTGAAATATAATGTTTTGCACATAAAGTGTGGCCAAACGAGTGGACATCGAAGCGCAGGTCAACTGATCATCGATTAAACACATTTTCTATTCGCTTATTTTATTGTCTCCACAAATAATTGACACAAACTTACATTTTCATATACACAACTCTTTAATTATTATTACAATTACTGTTTAAATTATAAAATTACAAAATATTTAACATTAAATATTAAAACAAATAAAATATGTTTAAAATAAATTTTAAAATCTTGTATTTGAAGTGTTTTCTGAGTCAAGTCGGGGATAGAGATGATTGATTTGTTGATTGTCGTGATGTACGGACTGTTCATAACTTGGCGGCGGTTTAACCGAAGCCCGGGGTATATAATAGGGTTCAATAGGAGCGGTGGCGAACGGAATCGGTACCGGTATGTGATGGTTATGA